ATCCTGTTGAGCAGGCCTGTTGAGCAGGCCGCAAGTCCAATTAGAGAGCTGTTGGTTACTGCCGAGAGATGAATTGTCACTGTGGATCATGGGTATTACAGCTTGGGAAGACTGTTGGTTGCTTCCTTTTCTTGGGGGCTTGCATAGCACCTTCTAGTACTGTGAAGGCTAGTTTTCAGGGAGGAGGCTTTCAACCCAGATCCAGCTCAAGTTCTTCTTGTGTCTGAAGTACATACTTCAGCAATAAGATTTACCATCAGCCTCTGGGAGGCAACTAGGAACAATAGCAGAAGCCCATATTGTCTGAGGAGTTTTTTATACTCCCCTGACCAACAACTTGAAAGGAGTTTCACATATCTGGTACTGGGGTTTTTGTTAGTCTCTGACTTGGGGGGAGCATTGTTGGCCCAAGTGAGATTCAGAATATATATTTATATATATGTATATATACACACACATATATATATATTGTATGTAATCTTAAGTAGATAAATAACATGATTTCATATGTTTTTTTTCAGACAACCTTAGTTCATTAGAACATTAAAAAAAAAGGCTTTAAAAGGCTGTAATGGAGTCTGTGTATGCCAGGCACCCAGTCTGTCACTCAGCTGTATTCTTAGCCCAGGCAGTGAATTTTGATGTGATGCTCTGGTCAATATATACATATGTGTGTGCTTACCAGAAAAAAGCTTAATGAGTGATATCCTTCTCTCCTTCCCCCCATTCTCTCTTGTTTTAAAGAAAGGGTCTTGCTATATCACCCTGGATAACCTGGTTATTCTCTGTATAGCTCAGGCTGACTTTGAACTTGCACTAATTCTATTTCCACCTCCTGAAGGCTGAGGTTACAGGTCTGTACCACTGTGCCTGGCTCCTGATATTTCTCTTTATGGTGTGATTCGCCCTCCCATTCTATTTTGTGTCACTGCTGTTGGTGTTTATTTCACTATTCACAATGATTTCATATTTATTGGTGGGTTGGCACCATTTTTCTTCAGAACACTGAATTAAATAAAACATTCAAGGCTGGTGTAGTGAGAATTTTGGAATTTTGGTTTCTTTAAAATATGAGTCAGGAGTGGTGGCGTACACCTTTAATCCCAGCACTTGGGAGGCAGAGGCAGGTGGATCTCCGTGAGTTCGAGTCCAGTCTGGTCTACAAACTGAGGCCAGGACAGCCAGAGCTATTACACAGAGAAACCCTGTCTCAAAACAACCCCACAGAAATACTATAAGAATGTGTTTTTGTTTTTATCCAGGTGTGGGGATACGGGGCTGCTTTGCAGCAGCTATGATTTACCTTGTGTTCTAGCAGAGGCCTTGTTTTGCCAGCTACAGATAGTTTGAGATTGTGTGGCGTTTGGAATTCTGAGAAATTTTCAAAGAGCACATAAATGTGAGGGCCCTGAGAGGCGGGGTTGGTGGTTCTTGGCCCTGTAGGGAGGCTGGTTGCAGTTTGTTAGTAGCCAGGGTCAAAGAAGAAACAAACAAACAAATGATAGAGGGATTTTTCTAATTCCTTTCTCCTCTTTTCTTGTTTCCTATCTAATTGTTAGAGGTGTAAGGGGGGAGGGGGGGGGGACGTTTGAGAGTCACAAAGTAGCAAAGGCCAGCAACAAGTGGCAGCCAACACGGAGCTAGGCAGGATGGGAAATTTGATTTCATATGCAGTAGCAGAAACAGCAGAGGATGAAGGAATGGATTTTTTTTTTTTTTTTTTTTCAAGAAGCCAGCAAAAAATTTACTGTGGCTGCTATTGCTTGAATATCCTCAGCTTTGTTGCCAGAGGGGATTTTCTGCTTTTTTTTTTTTTTCTTCTTCTTTGTATATTCTGTTTAAAATGAAAAAATTTTAAGAAAGGCCCAGCAGTTGAAAAAATTGCAGGAAATGGAGGGGTCTGAGAAACAAACAAAATGGCTGAAATGTGAACACAAAAGGGGTCACTCTGCTCTTTTCTGAAAGAGTTGTAGATTTGGCTGTGCAACTGGAGAGGTTGTGGGTGGAGGTGGGGGCGTTTGGTAAGTGAGGAGCACGGGAAAAGAGAACAAAAAGCCCCGGTCCCAGTGACTGGGCAAGAGAGCAGAGTTTCTTGCAGGAGGAAAGAGGAAAAGAAACTGCCTCCTGGACGGTGGTTGGCTCAGAGAAGAGCTGAAAAGGCAGGAGGACATCTGATGGAATAGCCTGTTGGAAAGAAAGGGTTAATCTTGAACCAGCCACACCACCAGAGTTAGAGGAGGGTGGCCTGGGATTCTGAGATCTCCATCAGTTTTCCCAGGATTAGAACAGAAGCATTAGGAAGATTGAGAAACACTGCTTTAAGGAGAAGAGTTGGGTTCTCAGGATCCAAAGCTGAATGGACCCAAAGCCCTGTCTCCAGGCCTTTTCCCTACACCAGAGTCTCAGGCAAAGCCAGGGATCAGCCTGGTTCCCAGCACGCCATCTCTCCAGCCCTTGAAGAATTTAAACCAACAATTCTGTCCTCAGAAAATGCCTCTTATAAGAGGAGGTGGTTCGGTGTGGCATTGCAGTTATATACAGAGACCAGAACTGATGCAGAACGGTCCTTCCTCTGGTTGGTTTCCCCTTGGGTTTCAGAGTGTTACTTTGTAATCATACATGACATTTAAAACTTCCTGTTTCAGTGGTGCTCTGTGTGGTTTCTCAGGAAGGCGTTGGAGCAGGTTTCTGTGGAGTGGAGTCAGAGAGGCAGACCTCTTTGGTTTTGTTTCTTTTGAGACGCAGGCTTGCTGTTAGCCCAGGCTGGCCTCAGATTTATTGTGTATTCCAAGTTGGCCTGAACTCAAGATCCTCTTGCCTCAGCCTGAATAGCAGCTGAGATTACAGGCATGCCCCACCATTCCTGGCTCTAGACTTTTTTTTTTTTTTTTTTAAATAGATAGTGGATCTTTTTATTTTTACAGATTAAAGAAAACTTTTCATTAATTTCTCCCACTTTATTAGGTAGCAATCTTATTCATGCCTTGGTTGGATTGAGTATAGATTTTCACATATGAAAATTAAGAAACAGTCTCATAGAAGACCCCTGTGCCCTGATATATTTGGCCCTTGTGGAGCTCCTGTCCCCACTAGGTCATACTAACTCCCCTTCTTTCATATGATTCCCTGGCTCTAGACTTTTATTTATTTATTTTATTTTTAAAAAAATTTGAGACAAGATTTCAAAACTCCTGGCTGTGAAGACCAGGTTGGCCTTGAACTCACAGAAATCTGCCTGTCTCTGCCCCCAAGTGTTTCGATTAAAGGTATGTGCCATTACACCTTTTTCTAATTTAAGTTTTTTTGAGTCAGGGTCTTACCAGACATCTCTCTTGATTGCAGCCCTGTCTCTTGTCCTGTGGGTGATTTTGACTATGTTACTTTTCTGAGCGTTACTTTTTCACTTGTAAAATGGAACTCCTAATGTCAGCCTCATAGTGTTGTCAAGGTTGGAAATGAGGGCCGGCAAGATGGGTCAGTGGATAAAGGTACTTGCCTCAAAAGCCTGGCACCCTGGGTTTGATCCCCAGAGCCAATATGGTGGAAGTAACTCCCATAAGTATCCGTTGACCTCCATGTGTGCACTTTGGCACACTCATGCTCCCACTTTCACTACACACACACATGCAAAACAAATAAAAGATTAGAAATGATAACATGTATAGGAGCCTTTAAAATATATGTATTTTTCATTCTTGTGTTAAAAACAATGAAGTTGAGGTGAGTATGGCTTGGAGGCAGCACCTTGCCCAGCATGCATGAAAAGCCAGGTTTCAGCCCCAGCACTGCAAAGTAGACACAATCAACCAAAGAAATCTGTTGTTTTTTTTGTGAAGATAAAACAGGAAAGACATCTAAGAAATAACAGCCCCAGCTATGGAGGCTGAGGCTGGAGGGTCTCCATGAGTTCACAGCCAGCCATGGCTACGTAGGGAGACCCTGACTCAAGAAATTAATACATAATGAAAAGAAATCCAAACCTAAATGAACTTAAACACTAGAGTGACAGGTATTTCAGTAAAATAAAAATTTAAGTGGTAATAATTAAAATGCCATTTCGTCAGCAGAAAACTCTTAAATTTTAATTTATTATTGACGTATGTGCTTCAGCACACATGTGGAGGTCAGAGGGCAGCTTCTGGGAGTTGGTTCTGAGTGTTAAACTCTGCTTTCGTGGTGAGTGCGTCCCTTCTCTCAGCCGCTTTGCTGGCCTGAACCAGCAGAAATACTCATTCTTGCTCACCTTTTTCAGCTGTTGAACTATCAGAAATGTCATATTTGTCACTGGGTGTGTAGCATTTTTTTTCAGTCCAGGTTGGAGAAGAGTTAAGTCATGTCCTTTGTCCTTACACATGTGTTCTGTGTAGCTTGCTTCTCTTCGGATGGGTAGAGCAGTAGTAACACAACCGCTGCAGTCTGTTCTGTGGTTCAGGTGAGGGGCGCAGCACTCCATGGCGCTCAGTAGCCAGGCAGCCCCCCTTGGTTTTGTCCTAGAAGTAAGTCATGTTTAAGGAAAGTGGCTTTCTGGATTCCTTTGTCTAGTAGTGTACGACTCTTTGGGGAAGGGTGTTTTTCAGAGTGTGAGCTGTTAAATGGACAGCTCCATGGCCACTTTCAGGCCTTGTCTTTGGACCCAGGACAGTTGGGCAGTCCTTCTGCTTGCCCTCTTTGTAATGTAGCAGCCCCTTCCCTCCACTCTAGGGCGCCAAGGCCCTGCCTCCACTCGGTGGAGTGCCTCAAGTTTGTTCTTACCCCATAACTGCGCTGGTATCCAGGGTCTTACAGAGGCCTCAGAGCTAATGCTTTGCCATGGAGTACTTTATGGTAATATGTTCTGTGGGGAATGTTTATAACTGCTTTTTGGGGGGTGTTGAGCCCCCAAAATATTTAAAAATATTTAAATTAAATTTTAAAAATATTTTAAAATGTGCTACAAAAGATAGTTTAACATTTTTTTTTTCCTGTTGAATATGTTCTCACAATTGCTTATTTTATTTTAGCCACTGATCTACTTCTTGCCTGGAACCCCATTTGTTTGGGATTGGTAGAAGGAGTTATTGGGAAAATTCAACTTCATTCAGGTATGTTTTTATAGACTCCTTACACTTGTAAAATTTAACAGGATATTCTGTGACATCCTTTCCAAAGTTGCATGTGGATTTTTTGTTCTAATACTAGTTCCTTTGTTGTAATTTTGGGTCTTCTCAAAGCAAGTTTGTTTCTATTTAAGTTTAATGAAATGAAAATGAAGCTTTTTGAGAAAAGATGACACGATATTACAATTGTTTTGTTCTTTCGTTAAAAAAATTTTTTTTCCTCACAAAATCCCTACTTTGTGCTAATTGGCCTAACACAACTGTGAGCCCAAACTGACCCCTTTCCTGCCCAGAGCTTACCGTTTAGAAGAGAGGAACGCATGACCGCTGCAGTCCGTGTGTAGTGCCTGGGTGTGGCAGTAGGTTCTGTTAAGAGAAGGTAGAAAAATGCACGGACATGAGGGTAGGTAGGAACACCATAGCTGGAAAAGTGGGATGGGCTGGCTCTGGGTCAGCTGCCTAGACCTGTGTCAGTAACTTCTGCCAGTGAAGACATGGGTCTTCTAGTGTGTGGTGTGGTACTTTCTGGGACCTCTGTCCAAGACGGACAAATGGATGGAAAGTCTGAGTCATTCACCTGGTCCTCACCCGGGAAGCAGACACCTCCTCCCAGGTATGTGAGTATGTGTCTGTGCCACATATATAGTGGTACCCAAAGCGGCCAGAAGAGAGTGCTGATCCTCCGGTGGCTGCACTTACAGGCAGAGATGTGAGCCACTGGCAGAAGTTGTGGGTGCTGGGAACTAGAAGAGCAGGAAGCACTCTTAACCACTAAGCCATCATTCCACCTCCTTTATTTGTCTTTCAGAGACAGGGTCTCATCCTAGCCCAGGCTGGCCTGGAGCTTGCAATATAATCCAGGTAGACCTTCAACTTGATATCCTCTGCCTGTGCCTGCTGAATTCTGGGTTTACAGGCATGTACCATTACTCCTGGCTTGTCTGATAAAAATTTTAGTATGATTATGAACTATTGGAGGCTTTGGCATTATTGCTGTGTAGCTGCCTCTGAAGTCAATTACACCTCTGTAGTATGCCTGTTGTGACTTCTGTTCATTTATTTTCTTTCCTTTATGATTATTTTGCGTACATGTCTGTTTGTGTGTGTGTGTGTGCGTGGGACAGTTGGCATGGGTGCCACAGTCCTCTGTAGAGGCTCAAGAACAGTTCTGGTACCCACAGTTCCATGTCGATGGCCTTGGTCTTTTCTTTGTGTGACAGGGGCTCATTTTGTAGTCCAGGTTTATTTTGAACTTACAGTGGTCTTCCTGCCGCAGCCTTCCAGGTTCTGGGATTATAGGTATGAGCTACTAACACTGTTGTTTTTCAGTTTAAAATAAGATTATTGGGTGTTGAAGCGCTAGGTCGGTTTTGTGAATTACAAAAACATATTGCTGGAGACAATTTTTAATTTTCTCTTGCTAGATTCTTTGGTTGTATTTTAAATTGTATTCTTATTATAAGTTTTTAAATAAATATAATTTACTGTTTATCACAAGTAAATAGTACAGGGTGGTGTAAAGTGCACATATTTATCTCTTACCCAGACTAAGAAGTTAGACAGGACTGGTGACTTCAGAGCTGTCGCTGCCATTTTCTCCAAGTGTGTCCTGCCCTTCAAGAATCAGCTCTTGAGATGTGTTACCACCTTGAAAATTGCTGCTTTTATTCGATAGATATTTCTAAGCAGTATGTGCTAATATTTATATTTTGGAGGTTTTTATATATATTTCATTAAATTATTTTTTGGAATGATTAAATCTCTCTGTGTGAGGTGTATGTATGTGCTTGTGTGGGTGTGTATGCATACATGTGTGTCGAGGCTGGAGGTCAATGTTGGGTAGCTATGTCCCTCATGCTCTTCATTTTACTTTTTTTTAAATAGGGCTCAGGGTCTCACTGGAGCTAATGGATTCAGGTGGACTGGCTGGCTAGTGGGCTCCAAGGTCCTCTTGTTTTTGTCCTCCCAGAACTGGGATTACAGATACATCACCACTAAATTTTGTGTGAATTCAGACACATAGCCCTTTGAGTAGTCATCACCCAAGCCTGTGTGCTATGTTACTATGAAAATTTTTTACATTCTTTTGATTTTTTTTAAGAGCATAAATTGCTTTGGCAAGTTTCTCCTAATTGGTTACTCTCTTATTTTAAAATCTCCCTCCCTCCCTCCCTCCCTCCCTCCCTCCCTCCCTCCCTCCCTTCCTTCCTTCCTTCCTTCCTCTTAGAAATAACATTGTGCAGAGTTCTGTTGTGTATCCTGCCTTTGGTAGGTTAAATCTTCTTCAGCATAGCCAGGTGGTGGTGGTGCAGGCCTTTAATCCCAGCAGTGGGAATGCAGAGGCAGGTGAAACTCTGAGTTTGAGGTCAGTCTCTTCTACAGAGTGAGTTCCAGTACAGCCAGGGCTACACAGAGAAACCCTGTCTCAGAACCCCCCCCCAAAAAAAAACCCAAAATGAAAAAACAAACAACCCCCAGAAAACCCAAAACTTCAACACAAAGGAGAAAAGCGTTCAGCCATTGTGTAACCATGCTAAGTATGTTAATAACACTCTCCTACCTGTCCACATTACATATATATCTGTAATTCATTTACATACTGACAAGATAATTTCACAGCTGGATGTTCTGAGCTAAAATTCATTTTCTATTATGTAAATGACGTGTATGAAACTTCTGAATATTTTTCTCTAATTTCAGTTATATCTCAGAGCAGTGAATAAACCACTGAAATCAGCCAGGGACCAAGAGTCAAGCTCCATTTGTTAATATTTATTATTGTTATTTATTAGCTTCACTGTCTGTTGCATAATCAGCTGTCCTAAAGGCCGAATGGTTTAAGACAGCAACAGTGTGCGATCCCCCAGGCTCCTGTGGCTGGTGATTCTCATCTGTTCTCCTCCTTTGCCTGCTGGGTAGCACAGCAGTACTACCACTTGGAATTTGCCTGGTTACCATACTTCGACTTCACGTGGCCTTTCTATTTCTCCCGGCTCTCATCAGACAGAGCCTCTCTTCTGGGATCTTCCTTTCTATTCTGGTGTCCTCATCTTTTTCCTGAAGAGTGGCGACATCTTTTTAGGGAGTGTCTGGGAGGTGAGGACAAATCCCCGGGTCAAGGGCCTTACTTCTTAAGCTGTAAAGCAAGAGGCAGAGTAATTTTCCTCATTATGTTCTAGTATTGGGAGTCCCGAAGAGATAGTACCTGAAGGGTCTTACTAGATAGGGCACTATTTTATCAAGGCTCTTTTAATTATACAAATCTAGGAGCTTAAGTTAACGGAGAAAATCTGTCAGCTTGTTCAGTAACCATCTTTTTTTAGAACCCAGGGGAGTAAAACTAAAAGTGGATGTTCTATTGGAGTTGAGGTCCCTCACCACCATTTCTCTTTGCACATCTCCTTCATCTATTTCTCTTTTGATTTTAATTTTTTTTTTTCTTTTTTGCGATGGAGGTCTCATGTAGCCCAGGCTGGCCTCAAACTTCCAAGGATGACCTTGAACTTCTGATCTTCCTCCCTCCTGAGATGAGATGACAGGTGTGTACCAGCATACCAAGTCCAGAGCTTCATGCATGTTAGACAAGCACTCTGCCAGCCCAGCTCCAGCCCTAGTATATGTAGGAAAAGAATTCTACTCTGAAGATGGTGTTCTCATCCTTCAAGCCTACTCTGGGGCTCCTTGTAACCAGTGGAGAATGACTAGCAATCAGAAAGACTGCATAGGGAGGGTTCACACAGTAGAGCAGAGGTTTATTGGTCCTGCTTGGCCAAGTCACCTAGTCCAGAGTGCATCACGGGGCACCTTTCCCAGGTGAGGGAGAGTCAGAGAAGCAGGGAGTGGCCTTGGCAGACAGCCCCAAGTTGTCTTTCATCACCCACGGCCAAACTGAAGTTAGTGTCCCTGAACCTTTCTTGTGCAAGGTATACTTGTCTGGTTGGCCCTGTTTATGTGTAGGCATTGTGAGAACTAGTAATACAGGATGTTTTGGAAGAAGGAGTTGGGAGGAGAGTGAACTAGGGAAAGAAAATATAAAAAGGAAAAAGATGGGCATAACAAGTCTCCTAATTATTCACTGTTCTTACCTCGTCCTTGTCATGTTCACTTAACAGGTTTGGTTTGGAAAGATGGGAACCAAGGGAGAAGCAGATGGCGATCTTCTGGGGCCCTCTGTTGCTCTTTCTCCCCTTATCCACACCCCAACAGCCTTTTCTTCTCTGGGCTGCTCCACCCCCAGCTGCTCGCCTTGGAAGGTCCATCCTTCTCTCCTCTTCCCTTTCATCCTTTTCCCCATAGGCTGCCTCATCCCCTCTTGCTCTTGCTTAGAGTCAGACTGGCTGGAAGGAGCTATGTTCCCGGTGTGTCAGAATTGAGCAGGTATTTTGGGGGCATTTTTTTTTTTCCTATGAGAACATCTTATCCTATGGGGGTAGGAAATGAGGGGAATAAAACATCTGTACTTAAGCTCTCCTTCCCTCCTGTTTCCTCCTACTCTGACTCTCTACATATTAATGCATGCATTTCTGTTCTTGCCTCGTGTGATGGGAACATGATTTTATTTGAACAGATGTCATTGTCAGTCTAAAACACGGCGTGGGTGAGCTGTGCTGCTGCTCATGATTGTCACTGAACTCTGGACTCTGGAATATAGCAGGCTGTCGTGATTTTTAGAACTATACTAGTGTGTTAGTGCAGCCAGAGCAGAATGTCACGGGCTGGGGGAGGCATTAAGCAACAGAATTTCATCTTTCTATAATGCTGGAGACTAAAGAATCGACAGGACTGGAGTCTTCCAAGACCTCTTTCCTTGGCTTATAGATGCTGCGATCCCTGCCTTCACTTGGGCTTCCTTCCTTTGTACCTTTGTGTGTTTAAATGTTCTTATAACATACTAGTTGTGGGGCTGGAGAGGTGGCTTAGCAGTTAAGAGCACATACTGCTCCTGAGTTACATTTCCAGCCCCCGTGTCAGGTGGCTCTCAACAG